ACACACACACACACACACACACACACACACACACACACACACACACATTCCTTAGACCAGTATGTTTAGGAAAAGAGAACTTTCTACCTCAATGCCCTCCAGCTTCCTGATGCCACATACTTAATTCCTAAATGTCAAAGCTCCCTTCCCACCCTTCCCACCATGTCCTTCATGGTCCTCCCAACTCCAACCTTCCTTTGGATATTACTAAGTGCCCCCAGCCCATGCGTAGGCCCATAGCTTTATAGATTTAGAACTGGAAGGGACCTTAGAGGTCATTGTCCAGCCCCTTCCCCCAAGGTCACACAGCTAGGAAGTATCTGAGGCAAGAATCAACATTGCCTTCCTGTCCCCAAGTCTGACACTCTTTCCACAACACCAGGGTTACCCTGGTTCCCAGTCTTGGCTTGTTTTAAATGGTGCTGCTTTCAAGTGGACCCTTTCATTCCCAGTCATGGCCGCTGCTTACTGCAATTCCTTTCTTCATTATCTTCACCAGAACATCCTATCTGAAATCTTTGCTCACTCTCCAGCGGACATGCATCCGGTGTGCAGAGGCTTAGTTCACTCTATGGAACCTGTCTGGTCAATGGTCCTGGCGTCAGCCCCCTGCAGTCAAAGAGCAGTGCAGAAGAGGTCAGGATCATTACATGCCAAGAGCAAGAAGCAGAAAAAGAAGTCTTAGAACCAAAAGGCTGAGTCTGAAGTGGAAGCAAGGGGCAGTTAGGTGGTGCAATGAGTCGAGCACTGGGCCTGGAGTCAGGAAGACCTGAGATCAAATCTGGCCTCTGACATTTATTAGCTGTGTGACCCTAGGCAAGGCACTTAACCCTGTTTGCCTCAGTTTTGCCTCATCTATAAAAGGAGCTGGAGAAGAGAATGGCAAACCACTCCAGTATCTCTGCCGAGAAGAGTCAAACATGACTGAAAAAACAATTGAACAAAAAAAATTGGAAGCAAAGTCTGAACTAGGAGCCATGAAACGGTCCAGCTGTGACAGTTCAGCACCAGGCAAATAACAGGTGCTTGAGCTAGAAAAAGATCACTTCAATTTGCTATGCTCATTCTTATCTGTGACTGCAGGTTTATGCATGGCCCGCCCCACCCTTGAATTTCTCCCACTAGAAAGGCAGCAGCTAGTTGGTATAGTAAATAGAATACTAGATTTGGACTCCAGAAGTCCCAAATTTGTATCCTGCCTTGGAAACTTCACAGCTGGGTAAGTCACTTAACCTCTTTCAGTCTTAATTTCCTCATCTGCACAATGGGAATAATAGCCTCATCAGGTTGTTGTCAGGGTCAAATGAGCTAATGTGTATAAAGCACTTTGTAAACCTTAAAAAGCTAGTTGTTATTCTGAAGCCTCTTCAACTGGAGAGCTGCAACTTCTACCATTCTCATTGGTCTCCATGGTGACAGCTGAGTCTGTGTGTCAATTGGATACATGTAATGTTGAAATATTTTTCCCTTCATTTCAAGCCCTGGTGTTGGAGATTGCTAGGGGTGGCGTTAAGACCAGAGCCAGAACTGAGGATTAGGGTTAGGGCTCTGCTGTGGACCTCTTAGGCTCAAGAGACTTCTGGCAGATGGGGGAGAATGTGGCCTCAGTTTTGAGACCTGGAGCTGCTGACACAGGCAGACCTGGCATGGGCTCCAGGATGGTCTGCCTTCCCCAGGCCCATTCCCAAAGAGGTGCCATCTGCTCCCTGGAAGCACCAGACATCCCACTCTCATGGAAACCTGGCCCCTTTATCACATTCCTTTCACCAATTTAGCCATCAGCAAAGTGCTTGCTGAAGGATGAAGAAGAGGTTATCTTACTCCGCCCCTTGCCCATGATCAGGCTAATATCATACCCCATCCCAGGTAATCAGGTATGATTCTGAGCTATGAAGCTTCTGGGAAAGGAGAGGCTCTGGATTCCATCATTCCCCCCTAGCCTCCTTTCCCAGGGTGTCTGCTCAGTCCTTCTGGCAGAAATCAGAGCTCATTTTCTCTGCGAATCAACTCTCTGAACTGATGGTACCATTTCATTCCTCTCATGGTTTCTTTTCAATAGGGGTGGAGGTGGGGTGGGTATCATAGAATCCTAGATTTAGAGCTGGAACTCACTTTAGTGGCCATCTAATCTAAGCCCCTCATTTTTCAGATGAGGAACTGAGGGTCTAGACAGGGTCTCGTCACTTGTTCAGTCACACAGGGAGTCAGTAACAGAATGGAGGTTTGATCCCAAGTCTTGTTCAAATCAAATACTCTTTCCCCTGCACCACCCAGTCCCTACCCTTACCTAGCTTTCATCTATACCTCATCCCCAACCCCTCTCTGTCCATCCTGGACCCACAATAGCTTCTTCTCCATTGTTATCATTGGGTATTTTTCTATTTCCAAGCACCCACTTCCCCCTATGATTCTTCTCCGATATCTCCTGGACCACAACTATGGCTATGTGAGCATAAGTACATAGTACATTGTATGCCATTTTCTTTTTGTTTGAACCTTTATGTGGAATTTTGTTTAATAGAGTATGAAGTTGTAGGGTGTGTGTGTGTGTGTGTGTGTGTTCTCATTGCCTTCTTTCTGGCTTGTTCTCCTTCAACTTTTCTGGGGTTCTGCTGTTAGCTAAATGTTTCCCACCTGAAATGAGCAACTAGAACCTAGACCTTATCAGGAGACAATATAGCTTGACCCTTTAGACTTCAAGAAATAGGGGCATTCAGCCTACCCATTTTATCCAACATGGTTTCCTGCATGAGAGAGGCATGAAAGAAGGGGACAGAAGGGAATATCAGCAGACAAATCCCCTGTCTGCTGCTCCCCTAATCTCCCAGTACTCCCTTCCTTGGACTCTCTACTGTCTCTGGCCAAATCCACTCAAAGTCCTTTAACTTTCTCCCACAGCCAAAAAATGACAACAACCATTTCCCCTGCCTAGAATGACCTTCTTCCTTCAAAAATCCCAGTCACAACAAGAAGCCCTCCATGTTTAATTCCACCCAGCTCCAGTTATACCCCCTTCCCTTGTGTACTTGTGCACTGTTTGAAAATCTATATATTTTTTGTTTTCCCTTTTAACTATGGTATATGGTATATATGTGGTTTAGGTGGATAGATGTAGATATATGGCATATAGAAATATGGATATACCATACATCTGTTATGTGGTTTGTCTGTGTATCTATTTATATCTCTATACGTGTGTGTGTGTGTTCAATCGAGCAAATACACAAGTACCCTATCTCTCCCTTGCCCTAACTCCCTCAGACTGGGAACTTCCAAGGACAGAAAGCAATCAATCATCAATTATGTATTAATCACCTATTGCATGCCAGGCACTGTGCTAGTTGCCAGGAATACAAAAACAAAAATGAAACTGTCCCTGAACTGTGGCTCTATCAGACTGGGAGCTCCCTGAGGGCAGGTACTGAGTCTCTTCTGGGAGTGCTCCCTTCTCGCATCCCTCCCTCAGACCCAGCACCCTGATTCAGACCTTGCATCCCTACTCAGTTGCACTTGAATGACTTAAGGTAATGTAAGGCAACAAATGCATTGGTGAAGTCTTGAAGAAAACATGAAGGCTGGAAACAGGAAACAAAAGAAAAAGAAAGAGAGAAAGAGCCATAAACACTACTAAAAAGTTCGTTCCTCAGCTCACTTCCCCCTCCCTTCTCCAGAATAAGCCAGTCAGCCCCTTTTGACCACCCCCACCCCGACTCATTTGCCCCGCTGCCAAAAGGTCCATTTAGCTGGAGACAGTGGGCGGGCAAGTGGGCAGCTCTGAGGCCCAGGGTAATTACCTATATAAAGAAAACCCACTGCCCCTTTGTTCCTGGGGCCTGCTTGCCCAGTTGGAATTGTGTTTCAGGACCACAACCTTGCCTCCAGCTGCCACAGCTGACCCAGCCCAGATGTGGCTTCTCCATGAGCCCTCCAGCCCAAAGGCTGAGCCCAGCCCTGCTTAGTCCCTAGTATCCTGGTCACATTGGCCTCTCCAGCCCCACCCAAGAGTTACTGATCTAACTCAAAGAAGGGGCTTTCATATGTTCATGGAGGCAGGGATAATGTTACACTGGATGGTTTGACAAAGACCCCTTGATTCCTAGACTTACTCGCTGTGTGACCATAGTCGAGTAATTTAACTTCCTGACTTCTACAGAGGAGAAGAGAGGAAAACTAAAGTTCGATTAAGGGGTAAGGGAGTTGCTCTACTCAGCAGACCATGCACATCTCTGAGAAAGGGAATATAATACACTGAGCTTGAAGGGCAGACAGAGCTATAACTAGCAATTTGTGTGTCTGGGGCAGGGTAGTGTTAATACTGGCAAGTTCTGGGAGATGTTCACCTGAGATGTGACCTGGAGGAAAGCGGAAGGTTGTCTGGGAAGAAACTCTAGGAGCTTTCTATTTCAAGAATTGTTCTTGCTTATAGAGAGCTGTGCTCTGACTCTGAAAAACCAGGGTTCAAGTCCCATCTCTGACATGCTGGCTGTATGACCTCGTAGTAACGCACTCTCAGTGACCCCAAGCCACACTGTAAGGCTATAAATTACTGAGCAGTTGCCAATCTGCCTAGGTATAGGGAGTCTCCTATAAGAATGATATCACAGGTCTGGTCCAAAAAAAATTCTTGCTAACTAGGTGCTAAACTCAGTTGTTGTTACTTTGCAGAATTACAGGTACTGAAGAACCTTGTAAATTTTTGTCTGTGGCCTAGTTACAGTTCTGAGGCAGGTGACATGGTGGGTGGACCCCAATGCCCTCTGGAGAAGCACACTTGCCCCTAACTGGCCCTGTCCAGAAGGTTATGTGGTCCCCTCGGGACATGTCTAAATGTATATTTAGAGAAGCATTGCGTGACAAGGATAAGTGGCAAAAATGGAGTAGGAGATCCCTTCTTGGCCAGAACAGGACACAAGGCTGGTCAGTTTTCTTGGAAGGAAGGGGTTTGCCTTCGAGGCCAGATCTGCTCATAAATGGACTTCAAAGCACTTTCCACAAATGACCATCCCCTTCTCATCCTTCAGGCTACAAGGAGATCAAGACACTGACCCCCTACCCCAAGATGGTTGTGCCTTTGAAGACTACCCCAGTCCCTCTGATGGATCCGAAGACAACTTCCCTGGCTTGGGTAGGTTCATATCAGGGAAAAGACTTTCTCCTGGAAAAAAAGGGCGGTACTAAGAAACAGAAACCTTCAGGTTTCCTGAGTAGGTGGAGAATCAGTCAAAAGAAGGTCCTGCTTTCAAAGAGTGAGATTTCAATCAGTGACTTGGGCATGGGGGCTCAAGACTTTTTAACAGGGGTTCTTAGCCTGAGGCAGATTTCAGAGAGTCCATGAACTACGATGGGGAAAAATGTACATTTATTTCAATATAATTGGTTTCCTTAGCAATCTTATGCATTTCATTTTATGCATTTAAAAACATTCTTCTGAGAAGGGGTCCCTAGGCTTCACCAGACGGACAAAGGGGTCCAGGATACACACAAAAAGTTAGGAAACCCTCCTTTATAAATTCAGACTTATAAACCAAGACCAGTATTTTACCAGGTAGAGCCTTCCATATAAACCAATATGGTAAATGCTTATTAATAGTAATAACAAACATTTCTATAGCACCTACTATATGCCAGGCACTCTGCTAGGTGCTTCACAATCATCTCATTTGACCCTCACAACAACCCTGGGAGGTAGGTGCTCATTATCCTCATTTTATGGTTGGGGAAACTGAGGTAAACAGAAACTAAGTTACTTGCCCAGGATTTGGCAGCTAATGAATATCTGAGTTCAGATTTAAACTCAGGTCTTTCTGTTCCAGGTCCAGCACTCTATCCACTGGACCACCTAACTGCCTTATTATCAGGTAATCAAGGATTACATCTCCCTCATCAGACTAAGAGCACTCAGAGTAGGAATGGAGTCATCTCTGTGAATGATCCTCTCCCCTCTCCAGTATACCACCAGTTATCCAGATCAGTATATCTCACATCTTGTAGTACTGGGATCCCATCTGGAAGCCCAAAGCACAGTAATCCATACCCTGTCACTAGACCCTAGAACAAAGAATGTGGGTAATAACCTAGCACCGATGTTGAAATCCAGTTGTACTATGCACGAAGTTAGCCTCCTGTGCTACTAGCCTGGACAACTTGTGGGCAGCTTGTTTTGTGTAAACCTCAAGGTTACAGGGGGGTAGGGTCGAAAGAATGTTTTTAAATGCATAAAATAAAATGCATAAGATTGCAAAGGAAACCAAATATATTGAAATAAATGTACATTTTTCCCCATCCTAGTTCATGGACACTCTGAAATCTGTCTCAGGTTAAGAACCCCTGTTAAAAAAGTCTTGAGCCCTAACCTACAACCCAACCTGCTACTCTGATTGGCCAAGTTCCTGGAGATAGAAAATAGAACCTAGCCCAGTGTCACCCTAACATCATATTCCTATTATCCCAAGACTAATTTCCTCACCTTCTCCACCCTAGCTATTGTCAGGGTTGACATTTCTTTTTCTGACTCTATCTCGACCTCTCTGCCAAACCTTCTGAGCTCTCTGGGTCCTTCTAAGTATTCTGGTGGGTGGATGGGTGTACACCCTGGCAGGATAATGCTTCAGGTATAAGAGTAGCACCTGCTTTGCATGAAAAGCAGCCTAAAAAAATAGATGTTTAAAAAAAAAGCAATCCTTGTCCTCCCACAGTACGACTCATATGCTAGAGAATGAGGGCACCAATCTGGGGGGTGGGAGAAAGAGGGGGAGACAGACAAACCAAATTTGACTTCACACTAAAAAGCCATCAGAAACGAGAGTGGTGTAACCAGGAAAGTATGCAAGACTCTATTTTTACATTTGCATAATAGCTTCCTTATGTGTCTGCCACATTGTTTGAAGCTCGATCATCTCCATCGAATCAGCGAGAGTTAATGATCATTATTTGAGGAGTTGATGAAAAGTCATTTACTCTCAAAATCCACTGCAAAAAAAAAATTCATCAGTCATGTCATCCTTGGCCGTGCCTTCTTTTCAGGGAATGGTTGCAATCCTTTGACCAGTCAGTAGGCAAGAGAGTCAATGAGCTAGCTGTCCAGTTGCAGGTTGAATTGTTCTGTTTGATTGGGATGCCAGAAAACTGCCTAAAGATTCAGCTAGAGGAAAAGGAAAGCTAGAATTCTTGGACATTTTGTGCCCTTTAAGCACCTGAGCATCCCTGTTTTGTTCTGAGCTGGTTGTCAAGAAGATCTTTATTCACTTGCCTGACTCCCCCAACTTGGGATCCTCTGGGGGGTCCCTTGGGCATTTGCCCAGTGACCTATGGCAGAGCCCACCCTTTCCCTCGGCTTATACATATAGAACCTAGGTTGCTGGTGATGAACCTTATCACATGTACACCACACTCCAATGGCATCACCTAGGATGCCCCCCCAATCCTAGCAACCCCTACCTCTAGAAGCTATTCCTCCTTCTTCTCCCCTACTTCCACCATATTAATTATCTGCCCAGGTCACATGACATCCTGGAAAGGTACCCAGGACTAAGACATGGGCTTGAGGGAGACATTTTGAAAGGCTGCCATGTCAAAGAAAGATTGTTCTAAGATCCTTAATAACAATAAATAACAACAATAATAATAATAGCATTTACATAATACTTTGCAAAGCAGTAATATCATTTGATCCTCATCATAACCCTGGGAGGTAGGTGCTATTTTTAACCCCAGCCTCAGATACTTGCTAGCTGAGTGACCCTAGGCAAGTCACTTAACCCTGTTGACTTCAGTTTCTTCATCTGTAAAATGAGCTGGAGAAGGATATGGCAGATCACTCCAGTATCTTTGCCAAGAAAACCCCAAGAGTCAAACACGGCTAATCAAGAAAACAACAATAGATGAGGAAACTGAGTTAGTCAGAGATTAAATTACTTGCCCAAGGTCATATAACTAGTAAGCATCTGAGGCTAGATTTGAACCCTAATACTTTATCTACTATACCACCTAGCTGCCTCATAGACTTCATAGGATCATTGATTTAGAGCTGGAAGGGACATCAAGGGTCATCTAGACCCTTCATTTTCCAGATAAGGAAACTGAAGCCTACAGAGGTGATGTTACTTTCTAAGGTAATACTAGTAGGAAGTAACAAAGCTAGAATTTGAACCTGCAGATCCTAACTCCAAATTCAGCATTCTTTCTCTGGCAGCATAATGCCAAGAATATCAGAGTGAATTGAAGGCATTATAAAGAAACCAGTTTCAAATTAAATGAAGAATGAACTTCTTGGGGTTTTTTTAAGGCAATCAAGGTTAAGTGACTTGCCCAGGGTCACACAGCTAGAGTCCGAGTACCAGACTCTAGGGCTGGTACTCTATCCACTCTGTCACCTAGCTTCCCCAAAGAATAAATTTCTTAACCAATAAAACTGGACCCTTGAAGTGGGCCGCCTTATGTAGTAAATTTCCCATCACTAGACATATTCAAGCAGAGGCAGGATGATCCTTGGGAAGGATATTGAAGAGAGCAATTCATCTATTAGTCAGGAAGGCAAGTGATTGGTCATTCCAACTTTAAGATTATAAAGTTCTAAGTAACGCAAGAGTTACTGGGGTCATTTTCTTCTCTTTATGGAAAGAGAAACAGAAGATTTGAGAAGGTATCATTCCTTTTGTATGACTTATAGAGCTTAGCATTGTAATAAACACATAGTAGGTACTCACTACATACTGTCACTCCCTTTTCAATTTGCCCATTAAATAGGGTATCATTTGCTTTCTGAAGCTTTCAAACTAAGATACATGTTAAATGCAAGGAATTCCCCCCCCTCCAAAAAAAAGCATTCATCAAACTCAGACATCTTCTGGAAGCCTAGTTCCTTGTCTTACCTACTAGGAAAGGGAAAAGAATGTCTCTCTCAGCCCTTTCTATAGAGTTGCCCCCAACTTCACTGCCTATGTTAGCTCCTGGTCAGATTACCCCTGAGGAGGGTCTTAGGTACCTAGAAGATTCAGTCTCTGAGCTCTATTTCTTAAACTGTAAAACAGCAATGGTAACTATTATGAAATGACTTAATGTATGCAAAAATTTATAACTGTAAAACAGCATAAATATCAACTACCACCAGTAGCAAGGAAGGCAAATAAACACTTTTGTAGCACCTACCATGTGCCAGGCTCTGGGTAAAGTGCTTTACAAATATTATCTCATTTGATCTTCACAACCACCCTGAGATGTAGCTGCTATCAGCATCATCACTTTATACTTGAGGAAACTGAGGTAAACAGAGATGAAGTTACCTCCTCATCTAGGAAGTATCAAAGGTCAGATTTGAACTCAAGTCTTCCTGACCCCAGGCCCACCATTCTATCTATGGTGTCACCAGCTGCCTCAAAGGTACATAGAGGATTGGGGTTTGCATCTCAGCTTTGCAATTTCTCAGCTATGTGACCATGGACAAGATACTTAACCTCTCTAGGACTCAGTTTCCTCATATGCAAAACAAAGGGATTTGTTAGGTTAGATGTTCTCAAAGGTTTTTTCCAACTCTAAATACTGTAATCTTAAGAAAAGTAAGCTATGGGGTCTTTATTACTCTCCTCTGAGAACAGGGACCTATCCTGGGAGTCTGGACAAGCTCTGCCTCAAGTTCCTGTCAAACTCCCAGGAGGCTCTGCTACCAGAAAGTGCCAGCAGGAGGGGCAGCTAGGTGGCACAGTAGATAGAACACTAGCCCTGGAGTCAGGCAGACCTGAGTTCAAATCTGGCCTCAGACACATAACACTCACTAGCTGTGTGACCCTGGGCAAGTCGCTTAACCCTACTGCCTAGCCAGAGAGATAGTGAGTTAGCAGAAGGGGACTTCAGGGAATTTGGGTCTCTTGAAAAGTGTTATCAGATGGAGCTGGAGTTGATTGGTCAGCTATGATTTCTATTCTCTGCCCATTGGACTAGTATGGATCCCCTTCCAGACCTGCAACCACACTTTTGCCTCCATCCGGAAGGGTCTGCCTCTGGGGCATCCCATTTAATACATGGGTATCATGATGCTATATTGTTGGGTAGGGCTCCCGAAGCTAGTTGCACCTACTGACCATTTTCAGGAAAGTGAGTGCACCAGCCATCAGCCCCAAGCTGTGGACT